TTTTCCTTCATGGAATTAGATCAAAAGGAGATTTAACCACTTTGGCATGAACTCAGTCACTTCAAGGAACTCATTACATAACATAAGTGTTAAATTTGCACAGTACAGCTTTAAAATGCAGCCTTGTGACAATCATCTGTTACCTTGTGGTTGTAGGAGTCGACTACATAGAGCAAGTTTTGTTCGGAAGCCCAGGCAACACCGAGAGGATGCTGGAGTTTGGCATCCACCCCTTTCCCGTCCACATCCCCAAAAGCAAAAAGGTTCTGTTTTGAACAATACAAAACACTGGTTAGAGAAAAAAACATATTATCGACTAAAATTACAAAACACCCTTAACTGCATTGAAAACAAGACAGGAAACTGAAGAAAGCCGAAGCCTTTTCTATCTTATAAATGATGAATTTTATACATAAAAAGATTAAGACTGTTAAATAAATCATTTTAGTTTTTTGTGTGTGCCATGATTCATTTGAAACTAACATGACCAAACAGATAATCCCATCAACAACCAATTTGTAAGAAGCTGTGATAACATTTCGATAAATTGGTTATAATTTTGTATCAGCTCTGTAAATAACAACAGCAACAGAAAAGGACCATGATAACAATCTTCAAAGTCTCATGATTCTCCTGGCTCGCTGACTAAACAGCTACAAGATGTTTACAACAACAAATTCTTGGAAATGTAAAATCCACTGAGTGAAAGCCAATAGGGATAAATCCATTATCTAACAGCACAAGTGTGACTTTGAAACATCTCAGCAACCCAGACCAGACTTCAGCTGAAGAACGAGGTAAACAGAATTTGGTCGATTTCAAAAAGGAGCTGGAGGACCTGGAGCATGCTCGTAGATGTTCTCAACATCAAAGGGGTTGTGCACCATGAATTCACCTCCCAGACTTGAGAATTTGCAATGCAGACAACCTAGACTGAAATGCGAAACAACGCAATCTTCAGTCACTGGTAATTAAACTAGCTAGATCCAGTTACATGCAGCTTCATCCTCTACCCCCGGGCCCCGGACCGGTACCGGTCCGTGAGTCGTTTGGTACCGGGCCGCGAGAGTTGAGGCTCAGGTGTGAAATGTATAGTTTTCAGGGTTTTTATCGGTTTTCAGCATTATTTTGTTATCGTTTTTAGTTTTATTTTGTTGTATTTATCCGCGACACCTTAATATTTATCCATGAAAATATTGTCGGGCATAAACCGGTCTGTGGCGCAAAAAAGGTTGGGGACCGCTGCTCTACCCCCTAAAAATGGAATTCTGTATTTTGTTGCATGTGGCAAGACGACAGTAATCAGAAGAATGGTTGCCAAGGATGCAGAATTACCCTCGAGTGTGAATAAAGTGCTTTAAATGCTCAACTATAGTAGAAAAGTGTTACATAAGAAACAGTCCATTTACTATCAAAGACATGAAATCAGCCGCCACATCAGAAGCAGTGCAAAAAAGACGCTGAATCTAAAATCAGATACATTTTTTGATTTTCACAGATGGAAAATAAAAGTCTAGCTTTTATTTTTATTTTAGTTAACTAAAATGTTTTTTCATCTCTACTTTCAGTTTAGTGTTAGCTAACTGTAATAACCTTACACTGGATTGCTTGGAAATGTCAAGGTGGGCATATATTTTGGACTTTTAACCATTTTTTCACCCGTTTTACAGCTTTTTCTACTGATAAACACCTCTCCCATGGCCATTCATACTACACCAAAGTAATAAAATAATAGAAAAACAGTTACAAATAACAGAATTGTTCCCATTTTCCACCATCTACTGTAGAAATGTATGTATTTTTTCACAACAGATCCACAGTAAAAAAAAAAAAAGATTAAAAAAATTTAAGAGTTGCACTGACAGATTTCTTTCACATACTACATCAGTGTTTCTCTCTCATGTAAAAAAACAAAAAAACAACAACACTGTTTTTTGTCATACTGTCTATTATTATATTAAGCTATCTCTAGGATTAAAGGTGCAGTTAAATCTCTGCACGGTGACTTACTCTTTATGTGTCCACAGTGTAAAATGAGTCTGACATCTCTGCTTTAGCTCAATTTGACAACTGATATTACTGTAAAAGTGCAAACATGAGAGGACGCCACCTCAACTTCAATACTGTTTGGCTGTTCTAGATCAACTCCTTAAACATCTGTGGGCAGCTAATAGTTTCTCCCGGCTCTTCACCATGTTAAATAAACTGTATATGACTCTCTAGTTAATTACTTCCTGCTCTCATGGGGACTTACAAGCTTTAGATCTCTTGTGACTTTCCAAAAATACACCAGTACGGCAAGACAAAGAAACTACAGCAGATCTGCTGTAAGAGCATGAAGGTATGCACAAACATTGTTTTTCAGGCTTTTCTTTAGCAACAAACAAGAAGGTCTGTGTTTACTTGTTTCTCTTTAAAGGAAAAAAAACCTCCATATTTTTATGCATACAAAAATAGCCCTAAACTCTGCGTGAGTGCCTAACAATGATTCATATTTGTGCAACATTTTTCTTCATAATTGTCCAAATGTTTTGTGTGGCTGGAAATGTGGCAGACTAATGTGCAGGTTTTACACGGTGTGTTTTGCGTTGATGTATGATGACAGAGCCAAGCACAGGACACATCATCATTGAAAGTGCTGCACAAGGTTATTCCGCTCCTACAGTCTGCTTCGGAAATGGACTTTTAATTTGTCTCCACTAGTTCATCTGCGCGGGCTTTTTCTTTCTATAAGAAGTTCACTTTTTAAAGTAGCAATAAAAATGGACAATATGGCAAACAACAAGTTGATAAATTATGTGCACTATATCATGCTGGTCTGTAAAACTTCATTAAGAGATGCTGTAACTGTTTGTTTCAAACCACATTAGCATTATAACTGGAAATAAGGATACTTGAAAGGTATCCAGCAGAGGGAAGATGATGATGAATGGTAAATAAAGCTTTTTTTTACACTATTAATTAATTTTTCCCCCATTTACTGTACACCCACCAGTGGGTCTCTCTCTCCTCCGACCAGCAACTTGACGGCTCCATCCTTCAGCGTCAGCGTTCGGATGGTGCTGCTTTCGCTGTCGGCCACATACATGCAGCTCCAGGGCTCCTCTGGGGCTAAAGCCAGGCCTGAAGGCTGGGCAAAGCCTGCCTTGTGAGGGTAGGCGTTGTTCCGGTTCTCTTCGTTGCCGCTGCCCGCCCATCGCACACAAATCCCTGCCTTGGACTCACTGTTCAAATGAGAAGACAATGATTAAATACTAGAATGCACTTCTTGATGCACAGAGTTCCAAAAAGGAGAAAATCTGTTTGTTTTTTGGTTTTTTTTAATAAAAACAAGACTGACATTGTATCCCCTGTTTATTTGCGGTAATTAAAAAAGATTATTACATAATGTGACCTCCTGTGAAACTGCTGACCACAGAAGACACACAAGAAGAGGAATCCATTTTCACAGTTTTAAAAGGAGAATTACAACCATGTCATTATATTATCAGAATATGTTTCAAAGCGGCCGTGGTGGTCATGTACTGGTCTCTCACCTTCCTTTGGGCAGTTTTCCATCAGCTAGGAACAAAGCCCAGATCTGGTGAGTCCCTGCCATGGCTATCCACAGCACGTTGTCTTCATCGCCGCCTACACATGAAAATAAAACGCAAAAAACCCCACAGGATAAATATGGGAGCAGGAACTGGTCTCAGTGCTCTTGGCCATCTACCAGCCTCAGTATCATTCACAAACTGTTGTGATATTTGTCCTTCGTTGTTGAGCTATGTTCTTGAGGTGTGTTTGGGACTACAGTCTGCTCAAGCACAAGGACAAAATGTGTTGTTTTTTTTTCAAAGTAAAAGTAAGAAATAGATTTTTTTTTTCAGGCAGCAAAATTATGTTTTCCAAACTCCCCCTCTCCCGATCTGCTGATTGCTCAGCGTCAGAACTGAGTCAAAACATGGAGCCGTGCAGGTTTAAGACACACAGCAGCCTCTCTGACAAAGGCCATATGCACTCAGCAGATACAATACTGCCACTGTGATGAACGCACAAGCCTTACAGACGTGCACCATCTCTGTTGTATTTTTAATGCGGGGCAAAGTTCAGCCTTTCTTGATCAAAACGGGTGGACTGTCAGGGATATATACTTGACTCAAAGCCAGTCTAGCACTTTATAGTTCAAAAGGTGTGGGATCCTCTTGATTTGGTTGAAAAATTTATTCATCCACATCTTGAATAAATCATGAATATGTGGATGTGTGTTTGGATGTTCTCTCAGAAGACAATGTCAGGGTACATCCATACTAATAGAGGTTTTTTTAAACACTCACTGTCTAAACCATACGGGCGATGTTTAAGGAGAGATTTAGTCAGAACACGCAGAACCTGAAAACGTCTTTGAAGCCAAAATATTAAACTCACACATTTACTTAATTTCATCTTTTGAATATGCCTTTCCCATGTAATTGATAACGCTCTTCGTATCACTCTGGGTTGATGCATTTGCTTTTCCCTGAGTCCCAATCTGTTTTCTGCTGCCACGAACACCTTCTGTGTGTTGCTTTGAGTAACAGTTCCCCATCTTTCTAGGTCCAAGCAAAGAAATCTTTGTTTTACTTTTGCTTCCTTCATAGTATTTTCTTCGAGCACCCAGCCCTCCACTTCCCGTTTACCATGGTAAATGCATACCTTTCCCAGGGATGTTAGCACAGACAGAGAGTACTTCCAAAATTGAGCCATTTGGTACTTACAGAAGTGCCGAATGGCTCATTTTTATGGAAATTATTTTAATATTAAAAGACTGCTTTGAATTTTATATGTATTAGTCAGGGTGTACTGAAGTTAAAGGTTCTGAGACCAGCTTAAAGTCAGCTGGCTGTGGCGTAAATCAACCTGAGGCAAAAAATTAACTGCGGTAGCCCTGAAATCTTCTATGCTTAACACTTTAAATTAAGAAGATTTGTATAAATCACACAAACACATACATCTACATTATGAATTGTTGAGAACCGCGCTTGCCAGAGGCAAAATAAACACCTCTGTCCGGACATACAGTTTCATTCTTTGTTTCTTTTACTTAAGGACACAATTTATGGGGACAGTTTCCTTCAAATGCAACCACTAGATCTTACAAGAGGTGTTTAATATTCAAGAACAAAATAATTAATTAAATCAGTCTGCTGGTAACAAAGTAATAAACAAAGTAACAAATTTAGTTTGTCACATTTTTAAATCACAAGGAGAGCAAATACATAAATAAACTGACTTGTATTTTGCTCCTAGGGTGAAGAAAAATAGATAATCAATGTGGAATAAAAAGTGTATATGAGAGTCTGAGCTGACTGATTATAAATCTAAATTCCACATTAATGACGCTTCATGACAACAAGATATTCACCAAAAAGATTTTAAAAGAGAAAAGATTCCCACTTGAATTGAAAAATAAAAGTATTGTATGAAATTAATAAGCCATTAATAATCAAGTGTATAAATAAGTGCTCAAGAGAAAATAATTAAAAGGCAGGGATAAGGAGGATTTGATGTTTTAAGGAGAAATAGAAGTTTTATATTACAAGAATGTGTCAGCTAGTGTATTTGTGCCCTGAATACTAAGAGCTTGTTTTGAAGGTGAATCTTCTAAGACTCATACAAGGCAGAAAGGCAATTAAAGTTACTCACTGGCAGTGCCAAGCATCACATCCCAAGGAGAGCTGATTGGCTGCTGTGGTCCCATAGCCCCGCCCTCTTTGTCTGTCCCTTGAGTGCCTACTCCAGCCAGAGTGCTGACTTTTCCCTCTAACAGGTCGATCTACAAACAGATGCAGACACAGATGGTCGAGGATAAATATCAACAAAGACTTGAAAAAAAAGGACTTTTTAAAAATAAAATTATTAAGACAACCTTTCGAATCAAGTGGTTTTCCGTTTCAGCCACGTATACAGTGTCCCCTTTAACGGCCACACCCTGAGGGGAGTTAAAGGAAGCTTCAGACACGTCGCCATCTTTTCTCCCGCTTTCAGGCCCTGTGACAAAAGGAAAAACCCAGCACTGATTAAAGCTTTTGATCACTTAAAAGTAATAATAAGCTCCAAATATTTATTTTTCATATTAAAATTCAGACATGTCAATATTAAATTTTTACAAAAATGAATCAGAGTGGAATAATTATTTTTATTCATGACTATTTGTATGACAATTATTGCTATTTGGTCTCAGCAAAGAAGGAAGTTTCTTTGGTGAAACTAAATAGGAGAAAACTTCAGAATCACGTCACGCTCTGCAGCTCGGCAAACCTTTCTTATGCGTGCACAGAGCTGATGTCAACAACACAAAAATAAAACCAATCCTCAATTTTCTCTCCTGGTTTGTCCACTCTAGGTCAGTGCCAGTTCCCAGCATGTACAAGTCCCTGCTGCTGCCAACCTCTCTGCTGGTCTGGGGACATCAGGCTAACTGCCATGTGGCTCCCCTGAGGGTTGTTGAGGCAGTTGCATAATGCTAAAATGTCATCATTGGCTAAATATTGCTGTTGAACTTTTACAGATCTCACTTATTACAACACAATAGTTTTTGTATTTAATGGCTATTTAAATTGGAGCTCGTTACATCATGCCCATTTGTTGTTGTTTTTTTTGAAAATGCATTGGTGTGAAGTCTCTTACCTCCTATGACATGTAGCAGGTCTCCAGTAGAAGACACCACCAGTATTCTGTGATGTCCTGTGTCTGCTATGACAAGTCTTTTAGTATTTTTGTCTATAGCCACCTTTCCAGGAAAAGAAAGGATGCTGGGTGGCAGGGTGTCTTTGTACAGCTTGATTCCCACTGTGTGAGCCTTGAGCAGACCACGCTCCCCATAATAACGCAGAGCGCAGTCAGTGAAAAGCATCAGCCTGTCACGGTTGCCCTCACCCACCAGGCAGAAGAGCAAGTTGCCACGTGGTCCGAGTAGGACCAGCGTGGGCCAGCAGGAGATCTCCAGTTCATGCCAGAGACTCGCCTCGCTGTCGTTCACCACGGGGTGGCAGATGTCGTAGCGGAGCACAGCGCTTCGGATGTTGTCCAGGACCTTTGAGAACATGTGCAAAAATGGTGATGAGTTCAAGTGTTATCCTTCAATAAGGCTCCACCTGAATTTATCAAAAAGTTCAGAAACTTTTCCAAGTCTTTTAGAAAAGTCTGCATGTAGCAAAAACTTTACAAAGCTCTTACTTAGTGATTTAACTATCCCCCCAAATTACAGGAGCACAAAATACTGGTATTCAGGACAGCCCTTTTATAAGTAAAGCTTTTGCTTTTGCTGTTAACTTGAAAGTCATCTTTTAAAAGACCAACTGCCCTTTACAATGATTTTAAACAACACACATTTTGTATCAAAACACCCAGATTTTTAAGTGAGTGAAATGCTGAAACATGACGTACATCATTTTTTGAAGATTAAAGGTTTAATTGTAAAGAAGCTCTGGATTTCCACTTTTAGTTTAAGCTTTGGATTTCATCTGCATTCGTAGTTAAGCAGGGTAAACCAACATAAAGATCTATTCAAGAAAAGCACATAATTTCAAAGATTAGAAAAGTGGGAAAATCTGAAAGAGACATTTCAAAACCATCGGGCACATCCAGTGGAGCAATATGGAATGTCCTGAAAGAGACGGAAACCACCGAAGTACTGACCAACAGGGATTTAAACAGGCATCCAAGGAAAACAGGGGCAACTGATGACAGAGATAAATGGTGAGAAGAGTAAAGAAAAAAGTAAATAAAATAAAAGTGCATAACATTATGAACAACCGCCAAAGAAAAGTGGCGAAGATCAACAATATAGAGGTCTTACTGCAAAACACAAACTGCTTATTAGCTGTAAAAACAAATTGGAAAGCCATAATGAAACTGGCAAAAAAGTGCAGAGAAGAGTCAGTTTGAGGCAGTTTGGGACCAAAGGCTTCTGGACTTACGAAACAGCGATTTCAACTGTGAAAGTGCTCGAAAGTATGAAGAAAGAAGGCATCTGTTCATGATCCTGAACAATAAAAGCTCATCTGTGCAGCATGGTTGAGGTTGTTTCATGCCTTGGGTTTACATGGCCGCTAATAGAACAAGCTAACACATTTTTATTGAGAATCTCCTGATGATCACGATGGTAGTAACAGAGTAAATGCCTACATCTACAGAAACACTTTGTCTTCTGACTTACAAAGAAATGCATCCATACATTTGGCCACATTATCGACGGGAGATTATTTAGGGTTTTGGAGTCAAAAATCCAAATTTTAATCCAAATGAAAATACATTTTACCTCCTGAAGAGAACACTGAAGAAGCAAAACCCCACAGACCAATAAAGAAACAAGAAATATGATGCAATTGCATATTGATGCATATTGCTGCAGTTATTGCAAACATGGGATGCAGTAATCAAATATGAAATATTTTGGCTTTAAGTTACTTGCAAAGATTGCAACACTTTAACTTGCTTGAAAAACTGGGAGGTTTAATACAATGATACCATTATACCATTACCATTTATTACTGTGATATTACCCACTTATTACAAACTATAACAGGGTACAGAGCCCATCTATGTAGAGCAAATTACATATACAGTTTTTCTGCATCAGAACGCTACAAATGACTCTCCACGAGCTTAGATATCATTGTAAACCATATAATATCCAGATATTTTGTTGTTTTAATTTGTAAAAATTTGCCTGCCTGTTTGTTTTTGATAAAAAAAAAATAGGGTAAGTACTATGCACATCAAGCATAATTTATTTCCTCACAGTTGGAGAGTACAGATTATTCCCCTGCCAAGCTGGCAAAAGGTTTCATAAAAAAAAAAATTAAAAAAAAGGGAGCCGATAGCAGAATATTAAGAGGAATATCTGAAGAACAGAGTTTCTGGTCCGGGACTGATAAAGAAAGTAAGTTCTTGCAATTTGTATATGCTGCCAAAATCTTATTCACCTGTTTGTATACAGGTATAAAACTTCAAATTAACACCCTGCTCCTACAGCCCTCTTTTTACTTGGAGAAAGGCGAGTAATTTAAACACAGTAAAAATTAATCGGTATACATGTAGATACTTTTGAAGTATTAAAGAAAAAAGGCAAAAGCTTCCCTGAAATTTCCAAAAAACCCAAAACATACCTTTTCATTGGGGAATTTGGCAGAGTGCACACCAACAATAACCAACCCATCTGAAAAAGAGATTAAACAGCAAACAGTGAGGGTTTAGGCAGAAAGGTGTTGCATAAGAAACACATGTCACAAACGTACATGCAAAGATGCACTAAGCACAATGATTTTTCCACTGTAAAATTTAAGAGACCTTCTTTGTAAACCAACCAACCCTCAAGCATAACACATTGCAGGTTTAAGTGAGGTTTCTGGAAAAGCCGTTTCTCAGTAATCATCAAAGATAAGTAAACACTGTGCTTATTATACAGCTAAAGACAGAAAGTGGTTATAATTTGTGACTTTGTACAAGGGCTGCAGACTTTCAAATGTTATGCAACTGAATTGCCTAGAACTATGAATGTAACAGGCTGGTGATGTTATTTTTAACACATGCTTTTGTGACACTGAAACTCTCCAAAGAGTCCACAGATAGCAGATATATTGATTCGTTTCCTTCCTTTCTTACAATCATTGTAAAACTCTCTATCGAAACAGCTACTTTTGTATTTCTGTCATTCCTTAAATCGAAAACTCGACAATAAGCTGGGTAAACAGAACCCGAGCGGAGCGGCAGAAATGTCAATGCTACCTTGTCGCTCTGAGAATGCTTTATTCACAGGGAATCGAGCGTGATCACAGATTTCAAAAAATAAAAAAGATTTCTACGTAATAACAAGTTTGATTTTGTGCAGTTTCTACTATTTACAATTTGATTGCATGCAACTGTACACAGAGCAAAACAACTTTCTAAATGGAAAAAAAGACTTGTTTTCATTGATAGAGTTACACAAGAAACAGCAACAGAGCAACTTTCAGTGAAAAGGCACTTTTAAAAATCTACACACTATTTATTTAAAAAGGCGTGAATCCCATGTTTAATTTCATTATAAGGCACTGATTTGAGGGAACTAAAAGGTACAGCAAGTTTTCTGATATCTTGTTCCAGATATGTGGAGCATAAAACCCTATGTGGCTTTTTCAGTTTAGATTTTAATTCCAGGAACAGCCCTGAGCTGTTCAGCGCTTTAATAACCAACAAATTACAAAGCACCTAAAAAGTATACAGTTGCATTAGTTCATATTTTTGACACACACACACAAAAAAAATGCATTTTTGCAAATGAACCCCACCAGAAGTGAAAACCGCACAGTTCCAAACGCTCAAACTCGACACGGTCTGCAGCGGATTTCGTCACCCGCGGCCTCTGCCAAGCAGCGTAGCGCCGGCACAGATTGCAGTGACGATGGGTGGGTCGGGGTGGACTGTGGAGTGACTGGACAGGGTGGCTCCCACACCTCAGTGACAACAGCAGCAAACAGAATGTACCCATAGCGGTGCCAGAGATAAGGCAAGTACGATAATGTGTGGTGGCACTGCGGTCTGCATGTGTGTGTCTTTTATGTAATGTTCAACTCACAAATGAATTTCAAGTGGCACATCTTCCTCAGATTTGAATGTAAATAAATATTATGCCTGTTTATCATCATACAAGTTTGATTATATTTTCAGTGATATATTTTATGCACTTTTTCAACAGGTCCATGAATCTATTATTTATTGTATGCTGCACTTTGTCTGCACTCCCTTGCAGTTTGTACCTATAACAAGAAAATAAAAAAGGGCGAATTTAATCCTTTTTAAGACCTCTCAAGACCTATTGATAGCCTGTTTGAAGGGCCATTAGAATGCCAGAGATTATGCTTTACATGGAGTTGCTATATATAACTGTTCTCATACATTACTGCAGCCCTGAACATTTCTAGATATTACTTCAGAGCTGCATGTGAGAATTTAAGGCCATCAGTCATGGTTTTAATGCATTTGGGAATTGTGAACGCATAAGTACAAAATAATAAACTACAGAGGGGGAGATGTATGCTGTACCTATGCTTACTTAAACTCTTAAAGTCTTGAAAGTATTTTTAGCTACTGTCGCTTCACAGCTGAGATAACGGTCTACATGCCTAAGGAAAAGAAGCAGTTTCCCTGCTCCAACGAATATGGCCCTGAGATGCTGCTCCACAACACATGACCATAGGACCAATTTAAATTGTGTACCTCCAGTGAGGCCCAGTGCAGCTGAAGTGTGACTTTAAGAATACACTATAAAGTCCTGCAGTGCTTTACTTGATCTTCCACCCATTCAACAGTAACCAAATAACGAGCAAATTCTATACTTTAAACTGTCCTGTAGCAAGTCAAAGCTAATGGTATAAGCATTTTTGTAACCATATTGTTTTTACACACTAAAGACAATGAAACTGAATTATCCTGTATGATGTTGAGCACCATGTGATCTGCCAGCGCCCAATGAGAAACTCACTGCAATTAAAAAAATGCAGTTTCTCCAGCATCTATGAGATAATGCTAAGAAATTATACTGTAAGTGACAACATCCATCAATGAAGTCTGTTATGAAAACACACCCAGGTCATCACCTGCTTACACCTTTGCCTTTGGGGGAAGAGATACCGCACCATCAAAACCTGCATAAACAGACTAAAAAGCAGCTTCTTCCCCGAGGCTGTGGCATCCATTATATGTCGCAGCCATTAGACGATATTGTTATTGTTGATAAATCTCAACCCTAAACCAGTGTAAGTTTTCTAATCTGAGCTTAATAATAAGCTACTGCAAACTCTGAATACACATAACTGAGTCGGTGGACTTCATGCAGGAGGGCAGTGGTTAGCACTGTTGCCTGACAGGGTGTTTCCCGGCTTTAGCCCAATACCAAGTGGGATCGCCTCCAGCCTCAATGACCCTAAAGCTGGATAAGCAGTTAAGAAAGTAAATGGATGGGTGGATGAGTGAATTATTGACCCACACAGGGCACATAATTAATAGACATTC